CCCAAGCCTTCTGGGTGCCTCACACACCGTGGATTCTGTCAAGTGTGGAACTGCTGAAAGGGTCCTGCCTACCTGTAGGTGTAGGGTCCTATTTCCTCCACGAGAGGAGTAGCGCCTTGGAGCACTTCCAAAGGATTTGTCACGTTAAAGAAGTAGAACTGCATGTATACTGGGGGGGGAGGGTCCTCCCAGGCCTCAAAGGTTTCCGTGCCGTTCTTCAGGACTGTTCCCTGAAACAAGAGAAAGGCAGATCAGCTGCTAATGCTGACAGCAGAGAGAGGAATTCCCTGCCTTGGGAACAAGCACGGGCAGTAAGACTGGAGACCCCAGTTCTAGATCTGCTTTACCTTGAAGCAGCTCACTCAGTGTCAACCAGCCCAGGCAGCTGCTCTCCTGGCCACAGGCCAGGGGCAGCATTGTTGGCTTGTAGTTCTGCTTCTCCCCACAGGCAAGTCTGCCTGACATTTTTCAGAATGGAGACTGATCAGCTATTACTCAGCAATCCTGTCTCCTTTCCTGCATCAGTAAAAAACTCCACCTGGTGCAAGACATCACAAAATGTGCCAACATTACAGATAAAAGTACAGCTCCATGTTGGGAGGCCAAAAGAAGCTCGGCCTCGATGATTTCTTTGCCCAAGAAAGTCAGATTCCAACACAGCCGTGAGATTCTGTCTCCAGTGCAATTAGACTTTGTTTTTCAGTGGCCTGTGAGAAAAACTGTGAGTGACAAATTTCTTTCACATAGGCACTCTAGGATTTGTGCCTTTCCAAGGTCTTGGAACAGGGGAAAGATTGCCCTCTGTCTTTAACTTCTAGAGCAACGTCAGCACGTGCATCTCCAGACCCACGGTCTGTCAGTTTATTTTGCAACCAAGCTATAAACCATTATTTTATAACAGAAGCACTTAAGAAATGAAACACTGATTGCCTTACTTCAGTGATAGCCCTTATCAGTATGAGCAATCTGACTCAAAGAGTGCATTTTCAGGAATAAACACAAAGAAAACTCTGTCTTTGAAAAGCACATCACCTGTAGGCGGAAGAAAGGGAGGAGGGGAATGATTTGCAATTAAATGGATCTCATCAACACTCATTCTTTTTATTCTTCTGAGAAAACAACTGGAATATTGTGAGTGGAAGCTCAGAAGCAGGGCAGGCTGGACAGCTGCCAGCTCATGGTCAATGTTCACGGGGTCTTATCAGCCACAGTTGCCTCAGGACTCATTCTTGGCCTTCCCACTTAAGGAGCTGCTTTCTCTCCATGCAGACTTGAGTTTTGAAGGATGGGATAAAGGGAAGACTGTTCCAAAGACGAGCTTATTGGCAGGAGCTTGGCATGGCAGGAGTAATGCTGAATGGCAGTGAGAGCCAGCCCAGCTGGTGGCACTTTGCCCTTGCAGCACTGCTTTCCCCAAAGCATTAAACTCCGTGTATTCTGTGCACACCTCCAAAATTAATTTGTTTCAGACACGCTTGAGGAGCTTGGAGCATTTCTCTGCAACTACTGAGCCCAACCATTTCCTACACAGCCTGATGCTTTTTCTTATGATTTATGCCAAGGAGACTCATCTCTGTATACATGAGTGGTCATATTCATTCCAGATTTATTTCTTGGATCTGCGTGGCACAGCTTGCATCTCCCACAGGAATTAAGTGTCTATTTATAGCTCTGTACAGTGAGAGCAAACCCAGATTCACAAACTTTCTGAGCTGCATTCAGAGATACTCCCAAAACCTGTCAAATCATAGAACATGGTAAGCTCTTCTGTTTTTCACCAAATGTTTTCAGGATATTTCAGTCTATCACATGATATTTACAAGGACATCAGGGCTTCTCCTTCCCATGTGGAATCCACGCTCATTTCCAGTGTTCCAAAGCATCCTTCCTGAGGACTGTATTTATCAGCCAGCCCTGAACTCGCAGCTCTGTCATTTGCTGCTGTTTCCTTGCCTTGACTGTGCTTTATACACAGGAGATAAAAAGGGAGCTTTCCCTCCCAAATATAACTGCTACTGGCAGTGATGGTGGGAGTGGGAAATGCTACTGAACATTTCTGAAAAAACCTACACAGAACATTTAATTCCTTTTTTTTTTTTCTCCCCATATTTCCTGGAACCCCTTAACATTTTAATTCAAAGAGGCACTTTTATGTGTTCATCTACGACAGAGCTTAACTGCAATTTGTTAAGGTGATGGGCTAAGTGTTCAGACCAGCATGAACAGACCTCTCTATTCCTGCACCTTGGGAATGCCCTGCCCCAAAGGAGCATCCCAGTGGATTCTTCAACTAGGCCTTCATACTAAACTCTCCTGAAAGCATCCAGTATTTTGCATTAAATAACAACAGCAAAAAAATCATCAATGCATCAACTAAATCCAAGGAGAAAACATCTTCCTTGTCCTTGAGGGCCTGAAAACTCAGCTCAAGAGATGGCTGGTGACAAGTGCAGTGGAATCTCAAGGGGTTTGAAGAAGTGTTTTCTAAAATTCTCAGTCTAAGGGATGTGGCCTGAAGGAAACACCTGGGCCAAGACTGACTGACTTCCAAGTTAGAAATTAGGAGCATGTCCCCAAGACTGATTGTGTGTGTGTGTGTGTATATAAATATGTATATAACACTAGGTTGTGTTCATAACCTGCACTCCTGTGTCAATAAATACACCAGCATCTACCCAGCAGGGAGCACCAGGCAACACCACTGGCAGCTGGGAATGCCTTTCTCCTGGGGAAGATTGAGCTTTGTTCATTATAGCTTTTTTTTCCACTGCTTTCCAGAGTTTCAGGCGCTAGGCCCTGATAACAAACAGGTTTTGGCCATCTGATTGGGATGGCATGTTTAGTTCACAAAAATATAGTAAAACAGCAAATAAAGAATAAGTTGACAAGATTTGAATGCCTTGTGGGACAAGTGCTGTTGTCACAACACATCTGCCCTCTGATTTTCAAGGGGATGTGAGGTCTGCCAGCAGGTTGGATTCCCACTCCTCCCAGCTCCTGCCTTTGGCTGGGAAGGCTGCTGCACACAGCAGAGCCATCCTCAGCAGTCTGCAGGTGCTGGGCTTGGAGACACAGGTGCTTCAGCTGTTCCAAAATACAGCTTTGCACTCCAGCTGCGCTCGAGATTGCCAAGACAGGCCCTCACTGCGAGGCAGCTCCGTTTCAGGACGGCTGGAAAGCCCTCAAAAGAACAGGAACTCCTTGCAAAAGCTCGGGTCTTGCCCCATTCCAAAGGCAAATTGAGATTTGTCTATTTGCACAAGATTTTCTAAGCTACACTCGCGGTTACACAAGCGACAGCAGCTTTCTAGGCTACACACAAACGAGGGGAAGCTCCCATGGGATAAAGCAAATGTAGAAAGAAGCCAGATCAGCAGAGTGACTGGGAGCACCCTGCTTTGGGGCTGAAAGCTGTGCTACCCCACTGGGGGGGGGGTGTGGCTCCTGGAGAAGGCCCTCGGGGAGTTGGCAGCTCTGGCAGGGAGCCGGACACCTCATTCCCTGCAATCCAGATGTGTGCCAGCACGAGCTGGAGAGCAGCAGGCAGGAAAAGACTGAGCTCTGGAAACTTTATCCTGCATTACTGCAAGCCCTGCTGAGCGAATACCAACTTGCTCTTACGTAAGGCTCCGTTCCAGGGAAGGAGCAGGCAGCCAGGAGATAATACGCGTAAGGAGGATCACACCTAATTCCTGACAGCCCTGCTCCAAACCACTGCTTTCACCCCACTGCTCTGCCAGTAACAGCATGGAGAACACTTCCAAGTAGAACTTCTGGGATGCAGACTCTTTCCCAAGGAGAGCCAAGATCAGGGGGATGGAGCTGCCACAAGCTGCTGTAAGCTCACTGCCAACCTTAAATTATTCCTGTTAAACCAAACTGATTTAAGTTTAGACAATGCAGTTTCCATGGTAGGAAATGCTCCCTGACAACAGCCCAGAGCAAAGAACAGTAGGTTAGGAGATCACAGATGATCTGGTCACCAGTTAGACAACAGCACTGGTCAAATCCCTTCAATGGTTAGCACTCCTGGTTTCTCTGTCAGAATAGGAATTAAGATGACATTCCTCAGATAGATAAATAATTGTTTATTTACAAAGGGATTCCAAGAGAGTTACTAACACAGCTGGCCCTTCTCACTGGACCACTGGACAAAATGCACAGAACCACTCTGGCAGAAAAACAAAAGCTTGGGCAGAGCAGGAACAGTGCAGGCCTCTGCATCCACAGCAGTGCCAGCATGGGTGTCCCCAGGTGTGGAACAACACGGTGAAATGCCTGGCTGCCATCACCCAGCCCAGGGAACTGGGAGACACCACGTGTTCCAGCCCACAGCACCTCTGGCCCCGCTCCAGAGGCACCAGTAACTGGAGCAGCAGAACAAGTATGAAAGCTGCAAGCAATTGATGGCAGAGATGGCAAAAAGGTGCCCCCTGCTCCCCTCAGGTGCTGCTGCCCTGGAGAGGGCTCCTTGCTACAGCTGCTGCCCCACAGCCAGCAGAGCTGCCTCAAGAAGAGACATTTTTACCCACCCTCACCCAGTTTTTACCCAGCCCAGGGACCACCACAGCCTGAGCTGCATTCTGAGCCGGGTGGTGCTGGGCGGGGGGGGTTCAGGGCCCAGGGATGCTCCTTCCCACTCACCCACAGCTGCCGCAAGGAGGGAGCCAGCCGCCTCCCTCCCTCCCTCGGCTATTTTCAGAAGGAATAACCCTGTAAACACGCAGCGAGACGGGAAGGCGGTAAGGCTTTTACCTGCTTCACCTGCAGATCCACCACCGTCTGGAAGACGTGCGCCACCAGCAAGGAGATGCTGGCGATGAGCAGCGTCATGGCCAGGACGCCCACGGTGACGAGACACAGAGACTTCATAGCTATGGCTGCTGCTGCTGCTGCTGGCGAGCAGGGACCGCCGAGGCTCCGCCGGGCTCGGGCTCCGGGGGCGGGCGCTCCCCGGGCCCCGCCCGCCAGCGCCGGGAGGAGCCGCCGCTCCCCCGGGGGAGGGATGGATGGATGGATGGATGGATGCTTTCCCGGCTCACCCCAGCCGGGACAAGGTATCCCAAAGTAGCGGAGGGTGGTTCCTGCCCGCAAGGATGCCCGGCGCAGCCCGAAGCCTCCTGGCCCTCGCTCCAACAAGCTGGGGAATTCTACAGCAGGATTATTGGGGGGAAAACTTGCAGGGAGCGTGAAGCGCCTCTAAGACTGAATTAAACATCGCAGGGAGCGGATTCTGCCCCAGTTCAATGCAGTTCAACTGCCACCAACAGAGAAAAAAAAATCAGTCAAATCAATGCACCTGCTTTTTCAGAAGGCAGTGGGATGTGCCGCTCCACTTTCCCACCCATCTCTGCCAGCAGGAGGGAAAAACACCTGCCACAGGGGCTCATGCCAGCCCCTTTCCCCCACGGCCTGCCCCGTGGCACAAAAAGAAGGAAGGAAGGAAAGCCCTGTGCTCCCATCCCACGTCCCAGCAGCAGCAGTGTTTCCCGAGTCAGTTCCCTCTCCAAACCACGAGGCTGGCAGCTTGCCAGCTGCAGCCTGATCCATGTAATGCCTTCCTGAGCAAGAGGGCAAGTGGCCCATCAGGTGGATTTCCTGCTAAGATGGACTGAAGCGTCTTCCTTTATAAATACTTCTTCCTGTAATTGTGATTGCAGCAACTGTGTTATGTTGTTATGTGCCCTTTCGGATATTTTTGCTTATGAAGGGTTCTGAGGTCACGTGTCACAGTTGTTTGGAAAACCAGAAGTTTTGTGGTTCCAGCTGCTGCAGTTAAAGAAAGAGAAATAAAAAATTAAAAGGGGGGGAAAGGGTGTTCTGTCAGCTTTCTTTAATTTAGGTTCTCATTCCAGAGTGGTGCTCTTAGCCCTGTTTCATCGCCATTTCTCCAAAAACCAAGAACCAGAGTACATAATTAGAATCTGGTTTTGAAGGCTAATTTAACTACAGCAATAAAACCCTCCCCTTAGAAAGACTCTTCCATGGGAATTCTTTCTCTGAAACCATAAACCTTTCCTTCCACTGTAAAATATTTTAGCTGAACCCTGGCACAAATATTTATAGAACAAGCAAAGATTCCTACAAAATTTTGGGGCTGGTTAATTCAGCTTTTTTGTTTATTTTTCCATTAAAATCTACCCATGCGATGCAGGGAACCACATCGTTTCTCCATACAGATTTCCCAGATTCTCAGCGTGAATGCTTTTCTTTATTTTGGCAATTTATTTTAGCTTTGGAAGCCAAGGAAGTGCTCACCAGCCATGATAAACTGCACACACTCCCGTGAGGAGTGACTCCACCTCCAGGGTGCAGCCTGGGAATGCAGTGGGTGCGCTGCTGGCTCAAGGCCATGCACTGGGAATATCTTTAATAAACATAAAAAGCCAAACTTACTGAGGTTGTGATGTGGCTCCCTCAGTTTGTGCAACACCAGGTACTCGGCTCCTTGGAGTCTATGCAAGGCAGGAAAAGCTTGTAAGGGAAGGAATTAGGAAATCCCACAGCACAGCATCAGGCAGATAAGAACAGAAATCCTCAATCCTACCCCTGTGGTTTAGTAACTATCAGCCATTTCTCCCGTGGATGTTTAGTGCCACCCACAGCAGGGCTGGAACAGCACACGGGAGGGTGGGGTTCTGTTCCCTGTCTCTTTGTGTGCACCCACAGCACCTCATGGATCTCTGGACACCTGAGACAGGAATGGTGCTTGCCCTTCCTCAACCATCTGCCACTGCTGACAGACCTGCTCACACCACAGGGTCTGACTGGACCCAGGCCCTGCACTGCTTCCTTCAGGAGCTGTGGCCTCAGGGCACACAGACACATCAAACAGCCTCTCCAGGACCAAGTGTAGCTTCATCCCAACACCATGCAGCTGGAACTAGAAAGTGCTTGATCTAATAAACACTTCACCAGCATCTGTCTTATCTCCACTCTGACCAGTCTTGTCCACTCGTCTCCTGCTGCTGCATGATGTTTGCAGTCTGCTTCCCTCTACGGATCTGTGGCACCAGCTCACCCACATGACATAAAACACACTACAGGGAACCTGCAGCTCCTTCCCACTCCCAGTTTCCTGGAGGAGCAGCTCTTGGGAAACACCCAAATGAATCAGTAACACACAAGGAAAATCCTTCCAGAGGCTTTGCCCTTCTGCTTTCCCTGCATAGCTCACACCTGTCCTTGCCACCAGAGAACTCACACACACTGTGGGTACCTCGTACTCTAGGCTTAATTAATAAAATAATAACCTAATTATGACATCCTGATTTCAGCTGAGAGTTGAGACATTTCTGAAAGGTTTGTAAGTGGGTAGTGATCACATTTCACTGGCTCAAGCTTCAATTTATTCATCCCACAGAGGTGAATTAATTGCTGGCAGGAAAGCAGTTCACTGTAGGGCAGAACTATGCTGCAATTACTGGGTCCTTGGAAAAGGCTGGGAGTAAAACTGGTGCTTTTGTAAGAGCAGCCTTTGCTCTTGGGTTAGAACACTGCTGGACTTCCAGATTTGGGACAGTGACATCCCAGGAAATGGCACATTTGCCTGCAAAAGCACTTAATTTTGCTTCTGAGGAAATTATTTCTTTTAACTGTTACGAGATTAGCAACAAAACCAGTTTTCCTTCTGAAATTTGGGCCTGAGCCTTATCTTTTTGACACTTCCCAGTACATACATTTTTATTTATTTTATTTATACATATTTTTGACACACCTGCAGCCCTCGTGGATTGCAAGCCCCTCACACACACACTGTAATTGTGATGTGGGCCGTGTGGTATATTCTATCATCACACACACACAGACACATTCCTCATAACCTCAGCCATACCAAAACCATCAAGTGCAGCCATTCACACCCATCAGCTCCTTCTGGCTGGGTTTGCTGCTCCCCTGACTTGTGCAGCAAGAGCCTGGTGACTCGGGGGTGCACAGGGAGGCTCTGGCAAGTGGCACAGTCTGGGTAACTCACACAGGTTTGCTGAGGGCCTGGCTTGCAGTTGCCAAGCCCATCTCCTCCTGTCAGAGTTTTGCTACCTTAATTCAGATTTTAGCTTCTGCAATGCAGATTGCAACAGGAAGGACGCTGTCTTTTCAAGTGCTTGATCTGATACTCTTGAGCATTGCCCACAGAGACTGACACAGTTTTCCAAGCCCTCAGTTTTCTATCCAGCCCTTGAGGCAGCTCCAGGATGAACCAGGTTTACTTGTTCTGCTGCTGCTGAGCGCTGCAAGCCGCCCTGGACTACTGGGAACATCCTCTGCACACTGAGGGATAAACACAGGTGTGGAGGCACAGGGAGGAACCAAAACCACAGCTGATATGAGCCCATGCTGTTCCCAGCAGCAGAGCAAAGGAGAACCTGGCAAAAAAAGTCTGGAGAAATGCAAAACCAGACCAGGATTGTGTTCACTCTCACCTTACAAACAAGCAGACAACAAAGCCCAAATCACCATAAAAATGTGTCTCTGTTGTTATTCTAGGGAGAGCTATAAGGAGAGGGCAAGGTTTCTGGCTCGTGGCTGACAGAGTCAGGTTAGTCATGCAGGCCAGGTACTTTATCAGTCACACATTTCCTCATCAATATCTGACACTGCAGAGCAGAGACTTTACCCTCCAGCCTTGAAAAGCTCTCCTGGTAACCCTGGACATGAGAGATGTTATATAGAACCTCTCGTTCAAACAGAATCCATGGCGATTGTGCACTTTTCCTCCAATATTATGGCATGCATGCCTCCTAAAAAGGGGAGGATTACAGTCTGCAACTCCCAGTGGGACTTCAAGGCCCAAATCCCACAGCAGTGGATGAACATTCCAGCCCCTGGCCCAGACCTTCCTGAAGGGAGGGGGCAGAGAGACAGACCTGTTCCATTTATCTGCTCCATTTGGGACTTGGACTGAGTTTCAACCTACACCGAGTTTTAAGGGAGCTGCGTGCACTGGGGAGGCCACATTTACAATGAGCAAACCAAAGGTTCCCTCACCTGAGAGTCCTATCCCACAGAAATGCCACTCAGGCATACCAAAGTGAGGGATGCTCCATAGCAGAAACTCTAGGAGTCTCATTTTCATAGTTTTTTGTAGGCTATTCTCAACTGCTTCTGGATTTGAAAGAGTTCAAGAGCAGACTCTGGCCCTTGGAACATCTGTTGCTGCAGTAAAGCCTGGATGCACACCACCTCCCCACACAATTTTGCTGGGGAAAAATGGAGGTCTTGCACAGAGAGCCAGGGATTTTCATGGTCTCTGCTGACTGCATTTGAGAGAGGCTGCAAACCTACAATCAGAGTCTGCTTTGTTCTGAGCTTGTCTTATATCACAGCCTGAGATCTTCCCCAGGTCCTGAAGTAAACACAGGGATTGAAGGCTGCAATTAGATGATCTTGCCAGCCTGCATCACATTGTGATTTACTAGGACGATCAACTAACTAATTAAAATTGTGCAGCCTAAGTATCTTCTAGCAGGCAGCACCAGTGGCTCCAGAGCAGCACAGCTGAGCTCTCTGGAGCTTTCCCATACACAAAACCTGGGATGTCTGTCCTCAAAGTGCACCAAACTCGCTGCCACAGATGAGGGAAAACCAAAAACTCACGTTAGAAGTCTCTCCCTGATTCCCAGCGTCCACTGCAATTAAATGCACACTTGGTAAGCCTGGAATGAGTCATCCCTTATCCCCGGCTGGGGCTGGCCGCTGGCAGCCACTGGAAAACAAATGCTTTGTATGTCAGCCTGGATACAAACAGCTCCTGTCTGCCAGCTCAGACAACGGGGCTGTGTGTGGGACAGCTCTCAGCTCCCATCCCGGGCCAGGGCAGCACTGCCAGAGGGCATGACAGCCACCAGCTTCCCTGGAAATGGGCCAGAGGTGGACAAGTGCCAGGTCAGGAGGAGGATGAGGGAAATGTTGTGCAAAGGGTTAAAGCAACGAAGGGCATCCTAGGGGGCTAATCCTGCTAGGGAGGCTAGGCAATCTCCTACCTTAGGATCTGTTTTCCCTGTGCCCCCAGCCCCCGAGGGCAGTGCAGAGCTGGGCTCTGAATCCCTTTCAAAGGCACAGCTCTGGCCCCAGGATGTGCCGGCCCCAGTGTGGAGCAGGGCTTTACCCCAGTGCAGTAAACAAGATCCCAGGACTGCTGGATGGGCAGGATGCCAGGCTCCCTGCAGGACAACTGCTCACAGCTGCTGCCAGCAATGCTGCCTTCAACTGTTTGTATCATCTGCTCAACACACAAGAGGTGCTGAGGAAAAAACACCGAGGGGGAAGGGGAAGGCAAACAGTGCCTTGAGAGCAAAGCCAAGAAACCAGCACCCTTGGGCTATTTCTAGGTCTGTGCTTCTTCCAGAAGCCAGCTCCTCTGTCCCCATTCCTTGTCAGATCCCAGGCTCCAGCCCCGGTGCCCTGTTGCACTTGGGTGCCTGCCAGCCTCAATTCTGAGTATTTAATACCTTAAATATGAGCCAAAAGCAGAGCTGGGCCCTAGGATGGGAGCCACCAGGCTTCAGCAGAGGCTGCAATACCTCGTGTAGGTCTGTTGTGTCCCTTGGCACCAAAGGGACCACTTTGGGGAAGCAAAAATACGCCCCCGCCATGGTTCTAGCATGTGACACGGCGCCACTGCATCAGGTGCTAGCTCAGGGCCCGCCCTGTCCTCTGACAAGACTGTGTGGGAAAGGACTCCTTGCTTCTCCCTGTCACCAGACCCAAGCAGCACATGACTCAGTGAGCTGTGACATCCCCCTTCACACACTGAACCCGGCCATTTTATTTCAGGGAGGAAAAATATGTACCACCAGTGAAGGCACCTGCCTGCAACTCTGTGATGCCAGAGCTGGAATCAAACTTACTCAGGTCGTGAAGATAAGCATTACCATCAGGGTGATTGGTAAAATCCTTTCCCAAGGATCCCCATGTGGTAAGCAACAAGGCAACACCGGAAAACAACAAAAAGAATCCCTCATTTTGAATGAAATTGTGTGATTTATAAAACAATACAACTTTCTTGCAGCTTTCAGGAAAGCAGCAGTTAAAATATGGGGGCTTCAACACCTGTATTCAGAATTCCTGAAAATGTTTGGCCTAAGTCAAAGAAAGAATGTGAAGTAATACCACACCTCACCCCTCTTTCAAGCTGCATTTTCCTATGGTCCTGACAAGGTAAAGAATCCGCATGGAAGTCAAGGCATGATGTCTCCAGGATGTGAAACAACCATGAGAGGCTGTCAGCAGGATTTCAATGGGAAATCTCACTTGTGATTCAGTTTCTAAGAGCTGCTGAGTGCCACAACTTCAGTGAAATCTGAGATGAACTTGAGACAATTTAGCCAAATGTATTTGTCTATGCCTAGGAGGAGGTAAAAGCAACAGGCACCAGCCCTGAAAAGGCACCTGGAACACAGCTGCACCAGCTGGGGAAATGGAGAATGAAAAACAGCACAAGTGTGACTTGCTCAGAGTGACTAATAAACTGAAAAAGCTGGCAAAAAACGGCTCATGGGAAACAAACCTCCTAGGAAAAGGGATGTAGAGAAAGCTGTCAGTGACACTACTGTCACAGTACAGAGAAAGCACAGGAAATGCAGTAAGAGACTGGCAGGGCAAGCAGTAAGCTCTACCTCAAACCCAAGAAGGAATTCCAAGTCAGATTTACCATGGGTAAGTAGGAAAGAATGGTATTAGACCTCTTAGATATTTTGAGTCAGCTAAGCAAGGATGAAATGCATTCTAACATGGAAAAACAGCAGAGCAAACTCAGAATCACAACCTGTGTCCTTAAAAATAGACTGAAAACCTGTGTGCTCCGTGCTTCTCAGCCTGGATATGACCTATGTGGGGGACATCTGTGTCCAGGTTGGGTCACTGTACTTAATGGGTCACTGTACTTAAAGAAGAAGGACACCAAGGCTAAAGTGGACTCCTGAGGTCCCTTTTAGCTGCCTTCCAGATTTTCATGGCTCATAATAGAAAGCAGGTCTGGATCTGCGGTGTCCTCATTACTAACCGACCACTCTTCGAGAAGTTAACAGCAACTGAGAGGAAGCATCTCCTCTCTGTTTGAGTGGGAAGAGCTTTTCCTGCCAGCCACACTCCTCCTGTGCCACCTGCTGACTGCTGGGCAGTGCTGCACAAGAGTGTCCGCTGCTCACAGCTGAGCTACTCCAAACAATATGGGAGAGGGATGGGGCAGAAAGCCAGTCAGGGTCACGGTTTCCTCCAAAGTGCATGAACACTTGGCCCTCCCCAGTTTTCTACCTGCTCAGGTGGGGATCCAATACAGAAAGTGTCAAGCAAATGCCTGGAAACCCTCCACGGCACCAGTCTTGATTTTTAGATTTTAACCTGGCTCCCAGGTTAAAATCTAAAAGCCTAAGCTCTGGGGGTTATGGTTAAGGTGGGAAAAGGAGATGTGACACTGCTCTTTTTCCCATCTCCTTTTAACACCTGACTGTTCCCAGTTAAACTAGAAGAGGAATTCTTCACACTGAAGGAATCAGAGGTGCTGAGCTCATTTCTCACTGGAGATTCCCTGTCACCACACCAGATGGCAGAGCTGACAGAAAAACAGTTCCTGTGACACTGCCCATGGGCCAGCCCTTCCTAACAACACTTCTGGCTGCTGCCTTGGTCACAGAGCTGGGGGAGGAAATATCTGCCCTCCTGTTTTGGTTTTGGCTCTCAAACTGTGGGAAGGTGTCAGGCTTGAGGCTCCTGATCTCGGGCCAGCCAGCTGGGAATTCCACAAAGTCACGTGTGGCTTTTCCAAATACTCTCCTGCTTTTCCAGTGCTCTCCCACTTGCTGAGCAAACAGTGATGCAACAGAGCCTCGTTCACAGAACACTGCTCTCCAAAGCAATGCTACATCAGGAATGACTGTCTTGAATTAGTTAGAAACAGAATTACGCCGCTGAGACTTGAAGAATTTGTTTCCTTGTCCCTCTGGTGTACAGACACCACATTCAGTTCTGATAAAAACTTTAAAAAAAAAAAATCTCACTTGCATTTTGGAGAATTTCTGTTTATCTGCTTTGGAAACCCTCTAAGGAGACAGAAGTCTGCAAGTTCTACAGGATATGAGCACTTAAAGAATTCCTAGAGGGGAAGGGACCAAAGGCTTCAAAAGGATAAGTTACTGTCTGCTATGGTCCATGCAAGTTGCTTCAGAAAAGGAACCTCAGCCTCAGTGACCCTTCCCAGGTCTCCCCTGTCCATAACTCCATAACTGATCAGCAGTTCAGGAGTTCCACCCTTAGCATTGACCGGGATGCTTGTTTTAAAAAAACCCAGGAGACAGCCAATGAATTCTAGGCACCCTAAGAGGAGGTACAAAGCAAACAACTCAGCTGCTGCCCGTGCAGGTGGTCACTGTTACAGGCAGGAGGAAAACCTGTTCCATCCACATAAATCCATGCTGCCCCTCAAAGGGAAAGGTCCTCTGGGACCATGCAGGACTGGGCTGGGAATGGGAGTTCCTGAATGGGAGTTGCCTGCCCTGCCTGGCTGTGCAGCAAGCTTGTCTCTTTGTCCTGAGCTTGGTGACTCTCTCCAAATGGATCTGTGCTATCAGCAATTACCCTGAGTACTCAAAGAGGTCGGGGTGCTTTGCTTTAGTTTCTTCTGCAGGTACTGGGTGAGAAAGTCTGGCACCAGAAGAGGCCTGAATGAGCGAGGAGATGAACAGAAGCAGAGGAGAGCTCCGCTCTACTCATTAAAGCAGCACCCTGCCTTTCATCCTGTGCATTTCTTCAAAATAAACCTTTCCCTAAGGATTCCTGCAGTAGTCTTTTCCAGGCTTGCTTGATGTCTCTTCCTTGCTACGCTGTTTTATCAAATGTGCTTAAAGAAAAAAAAAAAAAATGTGAGGTTAGCAGCTCCAAACACCACCTCTTCATCTGTGCTGAGGGCTGGCAGGAGGATTCCCTTTCTGTGTCATGCTGCAATAATTAATGGGTTGTGTCTGCTCGGCTGCAGGGAGGTGACTGGGAAGCCTAAATTGCAGTGCACACATGGTACTTACGGAACAGTAGGTGCCCCAACTGGCAATCCCAGCTCAGTGAGGTGGTGCCCAGACACAGAGCAGGGAACTGGCTGTTTTGAAGGCTAGGAAAAAAAGAAGGTAAGGGAACTGCAAAAATATCACCTACTCCACTAAGTTTTAGTAGTTAGCACAGCCCATTACAGCCAAGGGTCTGTTTTAAGCAGCAAGCCTGAGGTGCACCTTGAAGCACCGACAGTGTTAAAAGAGAGTGCACCCAAGCCCTCAGACACTGAGAAAGTGCCCAGGTACATCCTGGCTCCACAGCTCTTTCCTTCCTCTGTCTCACAGAGCAGGAGTTGTGAGCAGTGCACTTTCAGCCCATGCCAGGACACAGCCCAGACAGCCAAGTACCAAAATAGATATTTTGACTTAAGCACCAGCTCAGCGCTTTGCTGGAAGAGATGGTTCCTCAGCTACTGTGGTAAGCAAAGAAAGGGAAGGTATTTAGAACATGAATTCTGTATCTCTGCACAGCCACTCTCCTCCATGTCAGCCAAGGAGCTGCCCCACGGAGGCTGCACACTTGTGCTTCTATAAATTCGATTGACATTTACTGTCCCGCTAAGCTGAGGGAGTGCTGCTCGAACTGACACTGAAAGATTATGAAGTTCACACACTGGAAATAGACTTACTGGGACATCCACTTAGCCATTCTCTTGTCTAATGAGATAGTGGGCAAAATCTCATCAGTGGGCTTTAGAGATCCAGTCATGACCACACCTTTGGTCAGATAAAGAGAATGGATTAAAAAAAGGCAGCAAAAAGAACCGAGTGGAACTGCCTCCCCTCACTCCTCCTCTCGTGTTAATCTTCGGTGTTACAAACATTTTCACACTTTGTCACTCCAGAACTGCCAATTCAAAATACAAGGCGCATTCATGAAATTTCTCAGGTTTCTCGTAAGAAACCTCTCTATTTTGAAATAAGGTTTGACATCATCACTTCAAGAGTAGTAAAATGAAAATAAATGTAAGTAAACATCAAATATCCTCTGTATTTACAGACTCTGAACTCTGGGTAGTCCGATAAGATTCCTGAGCACAATACAGAAGCCAGGAGAGCAGGGCTATGTTTAGGAATCCAGCTGTAGTCATTAGAGTATGATGAAGAGGTTACAAAAGCAGTAGCGAAATCACTTCACTTCTCAAAGATACCAGAGCAGGACAGGATTCTGACCAGCACAAACATTAAAATTACCAGCAAATCGGTCCCTCTCACCATACCCCTGTTGGGGCACCTAAGCCCACCAACACTGCCAGAATTAAACTTGCCCTGGGTGACCCTGCCTTGGCAGGGGGCTTGGGCTCAGGTGATCTCCAGAAATCCCTTGCAACCCTAACGATTGGGAAAGAAAGCAGAAAAGAGCTGCGGACACGCGAAGAGAGGAAACTTTCTCCGCCCTGACTTTGGGGAGTTCACGCATTTCCACCGCCTCCGCGGCGCGGCTCAGCCCAGCCCCGCCCGGCCCGGCTCGGCTCCTCCCCGGAGCAGGAGCCCGGCTTAAAGCGGCGCCGGGGG